CTCTTTGAACTCAACAAATGTCAGCACATTTTTATTTAGGCATTTTTTAGGAATTGTTTTCAAAATTGGACGCCACCCCAACAAAGTGAAATACGTCTTCATCTTCCTTAAAATTACATAATCAGCATAATTTTACTTCTTCGTAATTGTATTTATTTAGATATACCAGTCCCCCGCCCCCCCCTGCCTTTAAAGATCGAGCTAATATAATTCCTCATTCCAGATTCGAACACCCGACCTTCCGGCCATGTAGCCCAACGCTCTACAACTGAGACATACAGCTGGTTTAATTCCTAAATATGTATAGATAAATGTATCAATGTTTTGTTCCTTTTGTAACATCTGTAATTAGCAAAGAATGTAGAGTAATTGTGTTATATTAACTTTACTGCTTATCGATCCATTAGGGTGTTTGTTTTCATAAATTTGAATTTGCAAAGCCTTATAAAACCATGCGCAATTCGTAAAATAGGGTAACAGTAGTACCATATTTGTTAGGGATGTCGCATATGTAACGCTTTCGCATGTCTAGTACGTTTGGGTATTACGAATAAATTGCTAGTGAGGAAAATTCCTTTTTAATTAATTAATAGCGTTGAATAAGTAACTTATTATATTATGGGTGGATTTGCGACATATTTCTCACGTGTCCATAAAACATCTTCCCCGCTGAATGTGCAGACCATTTCCATTGAAAAAAATACTCCAATCAAACATTAATTTGATAAGTGAGCATGATGTAAGCCTCCGGTTTTTTCTTGTGAAAGACTGCATTATGTAATATTTTAGTTCAGCTATTAGCCATAGTATACAGCTGAGCAATAAAACAATGCATTTTCCCTGATTTGTTGGAAACTGTACTTTGTACTTGTAGGTACTTTTCGTTACTTTTTGTAGATGATTTGAAAATTTTTTCATAAGTCACTTGCTTTTGCGATTGTGAGGAGTTTCAAATGAATTTGAATACTTTACCTACAGCATTACTAACAAGGTAGGTCTCTATGCTTATGTGTCAAATTTTGAACTCGAGTTGAAAACTCCACTTTCTTCTCAAGTTTTACACATAATTTTTTCTGATACTACTTTAGAAACACCACTTTTGTCTCTAAAAAGGGTGAAGAAAATGTGATTTTTTGCATAGTGGTGAAATTACTGGACTATTTTGACGAAAAAATCGTATGGAAAGTGGTACTTTTTTCACGATTTTTACTATGCGTTTCCATGGAGTTTAGTCCTGGCCAATATCATTCGGCCGAGCAATAGTTACAATGCGATTTTCAAAATTCTGATCGATGAGAGGAATTTGCCCGCTTTTAACAACCTCCGAGTCTGCATCTCAAATGCTTGCAGTCTTTCTAGTTCCTTTTATTCCGTGTCCATACATCACACCCATACAACACTCCAAACTATACACTTCACGAGCCTTTTTCTCAATTATAAATCCATTTTACTGTAAAGCATCACTCTATTTCTCATATACGTTGTCTTGGCCATTACAATTCTTATTATTATATACTTTCATAACCTTCGACTACTTGTGGTTAATTCTCAATCCATACGTGTCTTCTATTTCTTCCAGTCGTTTCAACATTTCATTCAATTCCTTCGTGTTTTCAACAAATATGATTATCCTTTCCCAGCACTTCCTCACCATATCCTCCATATACATAATAAATAAAGTTAGTGATAAACAACATTCTTGCCTAACTCCTCTTCCTATTCCAAACCATTTAGTCATGTTATCACCCACCTTCAGTGCCACCTCTCCTGCTGTATACAAGTTGCTGGTCAATTTTCTTTCTCTCTGATTCGCACCCTTTTCTCTCTTAAAAGTTCTAACAGTTTTTCATATTTCACACAAGCGAATGCCTTTTCCAGACCTACTAAGGATAGACTTACATTTCTTTTTCGTTCTATACCTACCTATAGCTTTCTCCAATCGTTTTTACTACTGCGTCTGCATCTCAAACTTCTTTAGAACCCAAATTGATCTTCCCCCACTCCATATCCATTATCTTCCCTCAATCTCCTATCCAACACCCCCAACAAAATCTTAACAGCATGAGCTCTAACACTGATGGTTCTGTGTTATTCGCATTTTTTTGTTCCCTTCTTTTCCTGAAGCGGTATCATTAAAGGTTGTAAAAAAGTTGTCCGGCCACACTCCACATTCGCAAATCTCATCACAAAAATCCCTCGGCATCCTCATTCCTTCCCCCTTTTCTAAACATTTTACTAATTATACCAATATCCCGTCTATCCCAGTAGTCTTACTTCATATCTCTTCCAGCAGCCTTTATTTTTGATATCTAAATACTTCCACCCTTATCTTTCTCTGATACTTTCGATTTTTCCTCTATATTTATTCGTTCAGGTTTCTCATTTGCTTTGTATAATTTTTTCATATATTCTATCCATCTATTTAGTACTTAGTTATCCTTTCCGTCCTCGCTTTCGATGTCACTAGTTACTTTGCTTTGCGTTTTTCCCTTATCCCACTGCTCACAACATGTTTCTTACTTTGTCGAACACATACTTCCTTCTTTCTTCCATCTTTTCAATCGTTTCAAATGTTATCCAGAGCTTCTTTGCTCTTTTTCCATCTCCTTCTCAGCCATTTTGATTATCTCATTCTTCCTGCTTTTCCATTTTCCTCTTTGACCCTTCATGACTCTCCATTGCAACCTCCCTTTTCGTTTCAATTCTCATTCCCCCTCTTATATGTCCATTTCCGTTAATTTTATCAGATCCTATTCCTTCTTATTCCGGAATAATAATTTTTTATAAGTTCACCCAAAAAATAATTATGGTGGACCCACTAAATTGGAAGTTCTCTTTATTGAAATCTGAACGAACCAACTTTAAATGAAAAAAACTGATTTATTCTATCAATTCCAATTCTAATCGGTTCATCAGTCAGAAAATACATGCACTACAAAACAGCTTTAAATTTGCCCAAAATCTGATATCTTCAAGAAACCATAGCTTCAGATTTTCCTTAATAACTTTAATTAGCTACAAATTGCTAAAACCTTTTTTTGGTTACAAATTCCACTAAGTTCAATCTCCTTTTGTTCACTAACGACGTACCTAAATTAATGTAGGTTGTTTTAAATCAATGCTCATTAATGCGAGGTTATTAAAACGATCGATCAGGCTTTCGTTTCTTTTTAACTAACTATACTACTTAAACTTCAATTTAAATCTGTTATCCGCAAAGAGGAAATCGACGTCATTCCAAATTTCTGCAGCATAACTAAAACATGGTGAGCTTCTTTGATTCGATTGAACTTTAATCTGTGTTATCTCAATTAATCGAATTACCTATACCTAATCACTTCATAGATTAATAAGTATTTCCTTGAAATAGAAATTTGATTAGCTGTTATTAACGAACATAAATTCCTTAATCGTTTGATAGGATTCAGTTGCTTAATGTTTTTCATATTTTTATTTAGAATAGTAAAATTCAGCAAACAGGTTCTCACAAATAGTAGGTACTTACTTTGTTGTTTAAATTTTTAAACTTCTTGGTGGAAAGGTTGGGGAGTTCCGCTCCGGATAACCTAGTGGTCATTTTTAAATGGAAATGTCCGTTTTTGTCACTTGGCGGACTAAAAGACAAAAAAGAATCATTGGGGATCAACTTGTTTACTTTCCAAGGTACGGTGATCACACCCCTTTGCGTACCTCCTCATTTTGTGGATGTGGAACCCTGCTTTTTATGTCTTTTCGTTTACATGGTTTTTGCAGTAGCTTGACTTAAAGACAGGACCGTCGAGAACTACATTGGGGCTCGGGACAAACATTTAAAAATTTCGAGATCATCAAAGGGTCATAAATGCTGTATTTTAGACGGTTAAAATAGTATATTAAGATACAAGTGTATAATCAAGTCTTTAAAGCACGCGAAACGAGTTTAAGGGCACGACGCAAAGCGGAGTGCCTTTAACGTTGCAAGTGCTTTAAAGACCAATTATACACGTGTATCTTATAGTATTTTTTATTATACCTGCCGTATAATTTAAAAATAGGAAATACAATGAAGTCATATTGACGTTATACTCGAATACATGTCTAATTAAGTGGGCTGGGTGTTCGTAATTTCACGATTGCCATGGAAATGTCACTTGACGTTTGCTTATAAAAATCGTCGTCTTTGTAAATAAAACGATTTCTGTTGAAAAAGATAATACCGTCCATTAAATCGCTTGTTGTAAAATCTAAACAAACGTTGGTATAGGTGTAAAATCTCAATCCAGTAAAGCCTATTAAGGATATGAAAAGTTGTTTCCATGGATGAATAGGAAGTTACTTACGAATAAAGTCTTAAATGCATCGATAATGCTGGCATATATGAAGGAAATGTCAAAGGTATTTAAATCTTCTATCTTTAGGTGCATTCATTCAAAACTTCACTTATTGCTGTGACTAAAAAGTGGAACAGATATGGAAGTACACCCTAAATTACGCGCGTTTGTAAAAGCTTCAACCAAAGGATAGGTACAAGCCAAAGAAGTGTTCTGCATTTACAGAAAGCGACTTAGGAAGATTTTTTATTTCACCCAGATGACAGTTTCAAAAGTCATACTTGAAGTATGGTTACTTAGCAACTTTAAAGCACGTGTGTTTTAAAGGCCTTTTTTCGCACGCATTTGAGTGTTTAAAACGGAGATTGTGATTCAGGTATAATAAAAACGTTCATACAGTGGGGAGTTTATTAGAGGGCGATAATCACAAAATCTTTAAATTATACAACCCTTGTCGAGGTTTATCTTCGACAGTTTTGTAATTTTAGAATTGGTAGGTACCAATAGGGGCGTTAAGTTAATAATCTTGATCAATTTATGGTAAAAAACAGGAAATTACAACGATGCTCTACGGGCCCTCCGGGGATTGGGGCCCGGGGTATCTTGCCCCCCTCTCTCGACGGTCCTGCGTAATGAAATACCATACAAGCGGGTAAGGAATGAATTTTGTACGTATGCCAACTAACAACCTATACAGAAAGTTTATATATTCAAAGATTATATACAAATAATACTTAATAAATATTACAATACTGATAATATTGGACCGACAGAGACAATACTAATTTATTCGACGATGATTTAAAACAGCCGTTCCATTCCCAACAGAGTGTAAATCCAAATCTCTGTCTTTGTGTGTTTCGACATCGAGCAATAAATGTGACGTTTCGTTATTCTCAAATCTATGACCTGGAATGCGCAGTAAGCATTAAATTTAGTTAAACGTATAGGTACCTACATACTTTTTAAGGAGTTTTCTAATTCTTCAGTCGAATTAAAATGTCGAAAATCGTCCACTGCGGCCCCTTTTAGAACCCCGATAACATCGTCGTGTAGATTTAAAAAGTAAAGGGATTGTTTTCGCGAGAAGAACTCTTTCATTAAGGCCGCAATTCCTTTGGCCGCCGTAAAATCGGCACCTAAGATGTGACGGCAATCCACAACTACTGGAAGATGCAAAGATTTCAGCCCCGCTTTGCCGATGTTGGATTTAATGAATTCTATTCCGGGAAAGTACAAACTGCTCCCTGGTGTTATTAAAATGTACTCAAGCCCATCGGCGGTCTGCAAAGAGATAGCTCAGTTACTGTCACACAACCATTCAGAGTACTCACGATAACATTTCTGAGGGTTATCGACGGTCTTGCAGACGGATACAGGATGAAGATCATGTTGATGCCGACCCCTAGCAATATTCCATACTCGACGCCGACAATAAGGCACAAAATAAACGTGGCAAACGTTGGAATTATATCTTTCTTATTGGACCTCCACATAGGTTTCACAATTTCGTACTCGATCATAAAAATGACCGCGCAAATAATGACTGCCGCAAGCGAAGATTTGGGTATAAACGCGAAATAGGGCGTCAAGAAACTGAGCGCCAATATGACGAGGATTCCTGTGTACAGTCCTCCTAATTGCGTCTGAACTCCACTGGCATGGTTTACTGCCGATCTTGAGAATGAGCCGGTAACGGGCATTGATGAGAAGAATGATCCGAACATGTTCGCCAGTGACAGCGTGAACAACTCTTGGGTGGCGTCGATCCCTTGACCGGCAGCTGAAACAGACCTGGAATAATTTCGGCATCTTGTGTGTTAGGTACCTATACCGAAAGCTTTGGCGATGGCGACATTTCCTAGAACCGCGATAATGGGAACTAGAAACACCGATGAGCCTAAATCAGTAAACATATCGGCGAAAGGAATTGTCTTATTGTGCAGTGTCGTTTCAAATGGTGGCACCTGGAAGCTTGGAAGACCTGGTTTTATACTGCCGGTGAGGAGGAAGGGCGATGAGGTACCGGATGACTCGTAGCAGTAGGCGATCACCGAGCACGTGATCACCACTAAGGCATTTCTGGCGGTTGATATTAACCAAAGCGTTCGAGATATGAACTTTTCGTGTCTAGATCCCTTGAAAATCTTCACGTCCTTCATTTTCTGAAAAAAACTGCTGTTAGTATTGGGCGGCACCAAACGCAGCTTACCTTTAAAGCTATGAGCACCGTAACGCAAATGACGCTTAAAATACAGTCGGAAGCGCGTGAGTCGTGAATGTTTTCGTAAACCTTCACCAAGGTGTCCAAAAATCCTGACGAACTGAAACTTAATCCAAGCAGTCCTTTGAATTGGGAGACTGCGATTATTACTGAGGTAGCCGAGGTAAATCCCACAGTCACCGGAATTGATATAAAATCAACGAGGATACCTGAAAAATTACGGTATGATTAATGAAGCATGCTCTGCAGAACCTACCCAAGTTGAGCACAGCCATTAATAGTTGAACAACTCCAGATAAAAAGCAAAGAAGAACCGCATAGTCCGGATTTCTATTCAGCACCTGCTGGTACGTCATTAGTGACATCAGAGCCGTAGGCCCTATCGTTATATCCTTACAATTTCCAAAGAAAATGTATACAAAGCATCCCACAAATGACGAATACAAACCATACTGTAAACTAAAGGGTTATTCCAATTCGAATATGTGCATTACAGACCTGCGGTTCCAAACCTCCCAATGTAGCGTAGGCAAGCGCTTGGGGCATTACAGTTAGTGCGACCGTAATACCTGCAATTGTATCACACACAAACTTCTGTAAGGTATACTCACGGGCCCATTGGAGTATAGGTAACCGTCGCCGTATGAACTTATACACTTTTAACTTGGTCCCCGCCATGGCACTCTAGAATAACACACAAAGCTCCAGTTAATACAAATACAAAAGGTGTTTTGATTAAGAAGATGAGGTTATCAGGAGTTTACGTGCTTTTACGGCGTATTTATGCACAATATCCATTTTACAACCCATATATTATTATCAAGAGCGTTTAATGTTAATTTTACATTCGTCTGATGGTTTATTCATGACTTACTTAGTAGGTACAATTTTTTAAACAAAGTCAATTTCAGTTCCCACGGGCAATGGAAACTAATGTTGTTTTTCAATGTTCGCATTGTTCTTTGATCTTGTTTTTAATTCTGTAGTTTTCCCTAGTATTTGGATGAATTTAAACTGGTACTCTACAACAAATGCCATATATATACCTAGCCAAAAACAATACTTTGTAACCAAACAACCCAAACCAATAATTGAGAATTAATGTAATTTGAGGTAATAATTAAACTCGGCACATTTCAGGTCGCGGTGTAATTTGAATACACTTACGCAATACTGGCAATAAACGTTGTTTCCTGGTAGGTCATGGGCCAGGTTTTATTGTACACAAATTGATATAGAACATTTTTATATTTACGAGATAAACACCTACGCATCGTGACTTATTCTTCCTGGTTTCCCCTATATATTCTGGGGTTGCTCCTGGAAGTTGAACCAATTGTGTCAATTTACAATGTACCTACCTGTTAGTTTTTAGTGGGTTTTGGTTGACTTTAGCTTCTATTTGGTGCTGATGTTATCGCAAAATCAAAATTCTCTATTGAAATTTACAAAAGGATATCAATCATTATAACTAACCTTTTTATTTACAATTCTTTTTTCGATGTGGAACACTGAAATTCTTACGACCCGCCGACTTGAGAGCTTCTAAACAAGTATTATTTGGATTGGAAATTTCGGATGATAGATTGAGAAAAATGGACTGGGCTTTTTTGTTGGCGAAAATGGGCATTAGCTGAATTTGAATGGCTTATTATTAGAATTTGGTTTAACTTTTATAGGAAATCCCTCGGGAAATCCCTTAATTTTTTAGTCGCAATTTCATTTCACATATGGAATTAGATTAACTTTCTTTTTACTTTGTGGCACTGCGTCGACAAGCGGTGAAGCTTTTTACGGAATTTGCTGAATAGCTCGTTTCTTTATAAATACGGACGGACGGATTGTCACAAAAAAAAACAGACTATAATAATGCACTATTTCTATAATAATCCAAAATGAAATCCACTGCGGCAAATGATACATTTCTAGAAAACTACTGGTTAACTGGACACTGATGGTCGCAAATAAAATATTTGGGCTCAAAGGCCGCTATACGAAACTAATATGGTTTCTGCTCGATCGCCAAATGCTTAATTCCGTGAAAAAAATAATTCCCTCTCTCAATATTAAGTCATATTTTAACGCCTACTTAACGGTGGAATAGTTATGGCGGAGACACTTTGTTAATATCGAGGTTAATATCCATTTGTTCGTCAACTTTCTAGGCTGTCTATAGAAAAGCTGGCACCACAGATGATTCGCAGGATATGTAACCTAATATGACCTCTTTTTAGCGTGTAAATCATCACCAACTCTCGACAATGTGGCGACAGATACGATTTAAATCAATGAACTCGCCGATAGACATGACACAGATGACTTTAAAAGCCTGCCGGATTACAATCGACACAATAAACACTTGAACTTGACATATGTAAGTAATATTTGTTTGGTGGAATGTTCTTGAAACTTTGATTTTGACATTAGAAATTGTTCTTCTGCGTATGTATTTCAATGGAAAATAAATCGCAAACAATTTACTTTAAATAATCGCTCTCGTTACAGCGCTCATACTTTTCGAAGAACTAGAGTGTCACCAGGAGGAATAGCTGACCGAAAATATTTTGTGAATGTTGATCTATTTATACATGTATGCGTCGTTATATTATATTATTATATAGTTGGTCTTTGTATCCGTAAGTGTCTTCTAAGTTTCATTTTTTTTAGAGTATGACATGAGGGCTTAATACCCTTAAAATATTTTCGGCTTCGCATTAGCCCCTCATCGTAGCTGATCCTTAAATTGTTTTGGAATTTTATTGCATTTCCCATTTTGAAGGATAAGAAAAATAATATCCCCTTGTGGGCTCGGGGGTAGAATTGACCCACTCCCACCCTGGAGATCGTAAAAGGCGACCAATGGGTATGGGAGGCGCCGAGTCCAATCGCCCCCATATAATCCTATCTACATCACTATCTTTCCTACTTTTCTTTTGATTATGAATTACGGCCTTTTCGATAAAACTTTTACTGCTCAGGGGTTGATTTGATCGGTGCCTTAAAGCAGGTAAAGAAAACTAGAGTGTCTACCTACACTGAATGGGCTCGAAGAATTTCCCAATTCGCAAACGGGAAACGGCGATCCAAGAATTGAAAACACATGGAAATCTTTCCAATTTAGAAGCGAAGAGGAAAGTTATACCACAGCGAGTACCCCCTAAAACTCTCGCGGCCATATCTGCTCCAAAGCCGGGCAGCACCTCTATCAATGTTGCTGCACAGTGTAACTAGAGCAATTTTTTCATTGAAATATGCAGAAGGATAATTTCACAGTTTAGAAGAAGTCAAGGTTTCAGTAACAGTCCACCAAACAAATATTCATTATGTCAAGTTCAAGTTTTTATTTTGTCGACTGGAATACTGCGAGCGTTATTTGCCGGGTATCGCTTTACATGCTAAAAAGAGGTCATATTATGTTACATTTATTACACTGCGAATTAAGCTTCCTTGGGAAAAGCTAAGTATTTTTCTGTTAAGTCAGCTTTTCTGTAGACAGACATCTCCGCCATTGCTTTCCATCATAAAATAGGCGTTTTAAGTTAGCTTAGTATAGAAAGAGGGGATTAGTTTTTGCACAAAATTATTCATTCTCGTTTGATCAGTCAAGACGAAATTAATATGTGAATCCGTTGCTCGAAACGGTCCTACTACAAAACAAACATGAGACTGTCAATGAGAAGAGAGAAATGTGTGGTTTCTTTCTGAAGACGTCGGTACATTTTTTTCAAATAGGTAATATGCAGATGACATTTGGCATGAATGTTGACCATAAGAGCCCGTTTTATAAAGTCAAGGTGAGACGGAATATAGGAAGTTTGGTTCAAAACATCGTATAAACGTCTGCTCTGCAATGGGGTTTTCATGCGGTTACGGTTAGGCAGTGCGTATCGAAAACTCAGCTATCATACGAGGAAAATCCACCCACCCCCAATTGAAGAGGGATATAAGGCTGAATCAAAAAATTCTACACCCCCCACGAACAATTTTAATCAAAAATCACGTTCTTGTTATTACAAGGTAGGGTATTACCCTAGGTACATGGTTTCTCCCTCGGTTTCTCCTTTACAACTACCCTTAAATCATTGTGAGAACCGAGGTGAGAACTAAGCAGATCAAATTTGCAAACAACTCAGTTCTCCTGTTTTTTGGATTTTGTTGTGAATTGTGAGTAATCCTAGGAGTAATCTATCTTAGAGACGTCGTTCTGTGCTTAAACACTAAAACTAATTGGCTACAACATCTTCCCTATAATTATTCCCGTAATAAGTAGGTACCTATTTTCCTCGATATTTGGGTCAGAAATTGACCAGATCTTAAAATTTCAGTTTTTTGAAAAAAATGGATGTTGCGCACCCTGCACACAAGAAATATCTCCATAAATAGGAAAGTTGGCATTGCGCACATCTGATTTTTACTATAGGTATGCGATATGTTTGCCTTTACTAGAAGTATCGCTGGGGTTAAAATTTCAACAGAATATATTAATAATTAAGAAAGTTAACATTGCTCAGGTCCCAGAGCGATACGCTACCGAATGAAAAAAAACGAACTAAATATCTTGAACACTGTAGGAGTAGTTAAGGCCTCGGAGAGACGGACGGACAAAAAAAGTGGCTGCAATAGCGCACCCAACTTCGTTGGAAAATGCGCTAAAAATCAGAACTAGCTGCTAGTTTGCGATTCTAATGTTCTATATGACTGGCCACTGGCCTATAGAACAGATTTTCAGGAATACTCAAATTGGCATAAAAAAACGTACGGTTTCCAACGTTCAATTTCTTGTTCCTAAAACATTAAACGTTACGAACGAACTTTAGCGAGAGGAAGGTTCATAAAACGTCAAATTTTAGTCAATGTCTTTGACTTATTATTTTACTTTACATCGAATCAACATTAATTTAAAAATTTGAGAGTTTTTCAGTAGAAAGGAGGGTAAGATAATTTAGGTACCGTGGTTATAGCACAATGAAAAATAAATTTCACTGCTTTAAAAATGTTCAAATATTTTTAGTAGGAGAGGGGCCTCAAAATGGCGTTGTGCTTAGGGCCTCCTAAGGCTTTAATCCGCAACTGAATTGCTAGGGGTAGGCCAGACTACTTTTTTTACCGCCTGTCACTTTACTCCTTTCATCACTGACAAATTGAATGAAGCGAAAATTGTATATGAAAATTGAAATTTTACATTAAAATACGATTTCGAGTAAAATTTAACACAAAACTCGTCATTAAAGTGACACTACTTGACTCGAAAATTAAAGTACTCGGCCCCAAAAGGACCTCGTACTCAAAAAGGAAAATGGTGTTTAAAACAACAATTCAAGTAAATGCCAGCGAAGTGTGAAGTATTCCCTGACAAATTTAAATTATTTTTTGACATGGAAGAAGGGAAATCAAGCGACGGGTTAATGAAATTTTATCGGAAATTACCTTTGATCTAACAATTCAAGTAAATGTGAAGCACTCCCGTAGAATTTTGTTTGCGAGAATCAATAGTCTCAAAGAGAAACTATAAAGTCATTCTGACAAAGTTAACGCAAACGAATAAAAACCATCCGGTACATTGGTAATTGAAACAGTTGGTTTAACTTCCAGGATAGTCGAGTCAATGAAGGTTTTAACCTCGGTTTTAACTTCTCAATTCTGAGAATCGGCTCCGACGTTGATTTTTTTTAATGCGCGTTTTTGAGTACTATGTATTCAAAATCAGAAATATCCGAGGAAACATTCCAATTTCAGGAAGTATATTATTCGAGATATTATTTATATTTTTTTTAAACAATAATAATATATAACTGAATTTACGGGAAAAATTAGTTTTAACATTTTTTTTCGCGATATTTATGAAAATGTCAATTGTTTTTATTGAAAAATAAAAATAAAAAAGTAAGAAACGTTAATTAGAACAAATTACTATATACGTGCTATTCGGCACTTTGTGTGATAGGTGTTGCTATTATTGTTTAAACAATATAAATAGATATCTAATTATTAACCACGACTGCGAGAGTCATTTTGTTACTAAATTTTCAATAAAAATAGTTATTTACATAAAAGTCAGGAAAATGATACATACTGGCGAAGAAATATTGAAGTGCGAGGCCGAGTACTTATAATTTCAGAGTCAAGTAATGACATTTTACTGACGAGTTTTATATTAAATTTTACACGAAATCGTCTTTTAATACAAAATTTCAATTTTTATATACAACTTTTGATTAACGTCAATCTGTCAATGATGACAGGAGTCATTATAGACATTTGGAAATGTCAAAAATTCGGCCGATAAAGAGACAGGTGCGGCCAATAAAGTGACATGGAAACTAAAATTTCCTGACAGAAAGTTCAGGACGATTTTGGGTAAAAAAATTTAAAATCATTTTTTCCGTTAATGTTGCTATTATTGTTTAAATAATATAAAAAATTATTTCATGAAATTGGGATGTTTCTGATTGTGTATAACAATAAGAAACACGCATTTTAAAGAAAAAATGATCAACATCGGAGCTGTTGCTGAGAATTAAGAAAGTCGATATTTAGGCTTCATTGATTGACTCAACTAGGAGGAACTTTACGGACCTCGGCACCGTTAAGTGACGACTTTGACGAAGTCAGTAAGTAAGTCACATCTAAAGCTAAAAGGATGATGAGGCGATTTAAATTTATTAGAGCCTTTCTAATTTACTCTAGTTCTAATGTTGGGCAATACATAGCTCGATATCAAGTGAAAGTTTTTTGAAAGATAGCAATTTTGGGCAACTTTTTCATTTGCTCTCCTAGAGAGGGCTAATTATAAGATCGTGAGGGTTTCAACACCCAAATTCAAAATGGGTTTTCAGGTACTGCCCTATAGATTTATCCAAACCAAGGGGCACAATTAATTTTCTGTTGGTATCTAAAATTACAAGTTGTTTAAACTATATTCACGTATTTCTCTTATCAATAATACGGTTCTAATTACAATTTGCAATGAGTAAGGTGATTCATTATATTGACGTTTGCAAAAATGTTTGTTTTTTTTCGGGAAATACCTACTCATTGTTAGTTTGAAGAGGACGAGAAGGTTGTTATTTTTAATAAACTTTAAAACACTTTTAATTAACTTAATCACATGTTAATTTTGATATATGTGTGAGAATACATTATGTACTTTAATGCATGGAGCATATACTTACCTACACCTCTTTTTTGAACTTGTACAAAACTAAGTATTGATTTCATTGCAAAACTATTCACCTTGATCAATTTAATATTACTCAATAAACTATAATTTTCTAAATTATTACATAAACTGTGACGATTAAGAGAAAAAATCACCACACGCGCAAAATTAATCCTTTCCAAGGTACTCTCAGTACAAAGAAACAATAAGGACCAGTCTTTCAAGTTTCAGTTAAAGGTACCTCAGATATACTTTGCATGTGAATGTTTTCTTAGATGGAAATTATCTTCCAATAGATTCAAAGATGGGTCCTAAATCAATCAAATTACTGTAAGGTGTTGCGCTAGGAATTTTTAAAAGTTCTAAACATAAAGGCATAATTTAGTCTGCGGCATATATAGATACATCTCTTTTCAAACTTTATTGTATGGTTGAATAGGTGAATTAAAGTTATTTAGGGTGGCTGTTAAATCTGAACTATTACAATATTATAGGTATTTACCTCACTTCTGCAACTTTGTCTTCTACACTCCTATATATCCTATATCCTATTTCTGCCGTTCATGACACTAATTACTTCCTAGATTGTAAGTAGATCACTCAACATGTAGGTAATATTTATTGGATTGTGAAGTTTGTCTAATACCTAATGAAATACGTTTAAGCAAATTTGATCCAATTCTCGTCTTTAAATAAATACTCGATAGCGAGTCATGGTCAATATAAACCGTTACACAAATGATCCGAAAAGTAAACTTTTTGTATTTTTGCGGTAAGTAAAACCGCCTATTATGTAAAGTCAAAGCGAGCGAGGATATCTTTACGGCATTTTGTCTCGTAATGCGATTTAATAAGAAACAATTCCAAGGTTTGTTTGTATATTTAGTGCTTTTTGTCTTGGGAATTAGGTAAACTCTCACTACTTAATTTCTAAGGCAGAGGGGTTGTATCCGGTGGCTACTCGAATGATTGCCGTGATTCAATTAGAATCATAAAAGATTGAGGTTGCTGCCTGAATATAATTTATGTGAAAGGGTTCGTTCAACTTTTAACTTGTAATTCGCGCCACAAAGATACGTGGGTCGATAACTCAAATTGTGAATTAAAAAGCGACCTGCCAACATATTGGGCCTTAATTCTATGTATACCATTTTCTGTTTAAATTTTCTAATTCGGAGTCAACGCAAGAGAATGTTATTTAACAAAAGCTTAACTTACATTACCTACATATTCAAATTAAAATCCTATGGCAAACTGTAACAAATATCCGGCACAGTGGAAACGCATTGTTAATTTAAACTGCACTTAAACAACAAAAGCGACGTTTGAAACCCGTTAGCTTACATTTTACTAATAATTCTTTTGGTCTAGCTTTTTCTTGTAGGATTATTCGGTTACGTTTTCATTATGTAGATGGCGTGCCAAAATTTCAGCGCATCCCCACTGAAACTGAAACTGTTTATTTCAGATGGCAGTTGCCACCCTTATAAATTGCTTTTAAATCGCGCATTTGCTAAGCGTTCCTTTTCCTTTTCCTCTTCCCACCATTTCGTCAATGTATCTTTGTAAAAAGCAGCTCTATATTGTGGAGGTAGGTAATTATATATTTGCTCCTGAGGTGGAAATAAGCAGATAAATAGTAATTATCAAAATAACGTCTTGCCAATTGCCATAGAGCCCTAGAATGTGAGAGTTATTACAAAGATTCTAATATAATTAATCAAATTGTGCCCACTGTTCTTTATTTTTTAATATCTCTGCTAACCCCCGCATTTGTTGGTTCTCGAGCCTCCTGCATAATAGATTCCACTCCAGATTCTACTCTCGTTTTCCACCCTATCGTGTAATGCCTAATATTCTTCGTAGAAACTTCATTTCCATGACTTGAACTTTACTTTTTATAGTATTTGTGACATTCCCATGTTTCCCCTCCAAAGAAGAATGCCTTTCAGCGTCAAATAATTCTCAAAACGAGCTCTACATTTTGAAGTTTTCTTTGGCAGCATTGAAATTCTGTGATATAAGAACTTGTGGATTAACGGGGGTTTGTTTATTATTAAATTTCCACATACTTGGGTTGCTGTGCTATCACTATTTCTTTGAAATGTTGCCATATGCATTCCCCCTTCTGATTTCTCTATTTATTTCGCACTTCTATTTTTTGCTCAGTATAGGTTCGCTACTTCAAGGTTCCTCAGTTTGTCTGTCTTTTGGAATTGGGTATAGTCTTGACTTATTTGGTACTTTTGATCCCTAATTTTTCTTCCACTAAAAAATAATGGTCGCTGTAGATTTCCGCCCGCTTTCTAACTCGGACAGTATGTCTTTTCTATGTTGTCGTTTAATTAGAACATAGTCTACTATGTATATTTCCTGTCTCGTTAGTACTTCTCTGGTATACCGATGTACTCGTATTTCCTTATGTTGATGTGTTATAATTAGGTTATTTTCTATACAAAAATTTATTAATCTGTTACTATTTGTGCATATTACCCATCAACACATATTATTGTAAACATTCTGAATCGCTTGCAGCATTACACCTTTATAATAGTGTGCATTTATGGAATAACATAATAGATATTTTTTATTTCCCTAAGACAGTTTTGCATGATCGTAAGACAATATCTATAAGAACTGTAAAATAATTTGTTTTCTTTTTTATTTCTTCTTTTGATTTTCTTTGTTTTTTTAATACTCTTAACCTAAAAACTCTAATTTTCTTAAACCCATTGTTAGTGAATTTGACATTATATTGCTTTCGGAAACGTGGTTAGAACCCAACTGTAGTTACCCTGACCTTGTGCTGGGAACCCATTAATTACTAAGAGTGGATCGAGAAACTCATGGAGGTGGTGTAAGTATCCTTTTGAGAAATAATATTAAAGCTAAAATAATACAATCCAGTAATATTGGCATTGAGCAACTCTGGATAGAGTTTGAATACGAACATTACAAAACTGCTATAGGCATCATATATAGGCCCCCAACTACTCGGGTGGATGAGTTTATAGCATTTGGGGATGTAATTAAAGACTTATACTTGCAATACAACAATGTGATATGTGTAGGTGATTTCAATGTTAACATGCTTGGCACAAACGTTCCCTCCTCATTCATGGATATTTTTAATGAAGTGGGATTTCACCAGTTAATAAAGGAACCGACTCGAATAACACCCACCTCAAGTACTTTAATTGACTTAATGTTTACGTTATGTCCTGAAAAGATTAGCAACATACACCATCTGTGCCCTCTTGGAACGGCGGACCATGATGTTATCGCGTTTGATTATGCTGTTGGGTGCGAAGTAATAAAAACCTCTAATATGGTAATTCGTTACAGAGACAAAAAGAGTATCGATCATGTGGCGTTTAGCCATGTAGCCTCTATGTTAAATTGGCAGGATGTTAACTTTTTCGATAATGTCGATGACAAATTAAATTTCCTATACTCCCTAATTAATAATTTACTTAATATTTTTGCACCAATAAAAACGATGATTACGAAGAAAAAGTATAGTCCATGGTTAACTAAGAAAATACGTAAGCAGATTCGAAGAAAGAATAATGCTTGGTGTCGATTCCGTTCTACCAGGTCTCAAGCTGATTGGGTATTTTATAAAAACTTGCTCAAAGATACAAAACGTATGATTAATACTGAAAAAAGGATTCAAATGAATCATTTTGTGAATCATAATGCATCTAACCCTCGTACTCTGTGGTCTGGACTGCGTAACATGCAGATTATAGACAGAAAAATTTCACATTCAACGACACATGCATTGTCAGATCCGAATACCGTTAATAAATACTTTAACCAAAGTGTACATCACGGAAACGCATTTACACCATCAAACCTTAATGTTGCCGAAAATCGCATTGCTATAAGTATGAAAAATTTTGATCTTAGTTCTGTCACTAGTTGGCAGGTTTTGGATGCAGTTCAGTCATTGAGTAAGTCATCAAAAGGCAACGACAACATATCGATGGACGAAATTAAACTATGTATTCCGTTTTGCATAAATGCTCTCACTGATGTGATTAACTTCTCGTTGTATAGCGGTACCGTGCCCTCAGCGTGGAAAACTTCAATTATCAGCCCGATCCCCAAGGTGACACACGCTGTAAGCATTGAACAGTACAGGCCTATTAGCATACTTCCGGCCATGTCGAAGATTCTAGAAAGAATAGTCCATAAGCAAGTCGATGCGCACCTAGAAGAGGGAAATCTGTATTACGAGAAACAATCTGGTTTCAGAAAAGATCATAGTACAACTACGGCGCTGCTTCATACCATAAGTACGCTGAAGCGCAACATCGATCGTGGTGAAGTTACATTGTTGTGTTTGCTAGATTTCTCTAAAGCCTTCGACACTGTTAATCACTCTACTTTAATTACGAAACTAACATCTCTAGGATTCTCCAGGCGGGCTTCAAACTGGTTTAAAGACTACCTTTGTGATAGAAACCAACGAACGAAAATAGTGACTGACGGTAATATTTTGATTTCTGACTCCCTAAGCATTAAATGTGGTGTCCCGCAGGGTAGCATTTTAGGTCCCTTGCTATTCAATATACAGGGTGATTCCTATAGTACCTGCCACCGTTTGGGAGCGTGTAGGTGGTGCGTAGGGGAGTATTTTGATATAGGACACTTGGGGTCGGAAATCTAAAATAAGGGTGCCAGAACCAAATTTACCTTCTGGAATTTCGCGCCTGTAGGTAGGCAACCCAACCGGCCGGCGGTGCACACGGAGCGATCTCAGGCGGCGATGTGTGGCTGATACTTGATCAGAATTTTGTTTAAACCCACGAAATCCCGTCTGCAACGACGCGTATCAAGTGAATAAACACTATGGCAATAGTATAATAATAGTTGGCTAGATGTAGGAAGTGCATTGAGAACAACGGTGGCCACGTTGAACACTTGTAAATGTTATTGCTTTTGACTGTCGTTTTCCCTCCTTTCCTCCCATGTCGCTTCCTCGCGCTAACTCGCTCTGCATCGCTCCGCGCGAAACGTCGGTCGGTTGGGTTGCCTACATACAGGCGTGAAATTCCAGAAGATAAATAATTTGGTTCTGGCGCCCTTATTTTAGATTTCCGACCCCAAGTGTCCTATATCAAAATACTCCCCTAGGCACCCCCTATACGCTCCCAAACGGTGGCAGGTACTATAGGAATCACCCTGTATATGTTTCTGATCTTCACCGATACATTAAATACAGTGACATACATCAGTATGCAGACGATATACAAGTTTTGAAAAATATACCATTAAAGGGTCTCAATGAGCATATTAATCAACTAAACTATGACTTAATGGTTATTTATGAGTGGGCAACACTAAATAATCTTAAACTGAACCCTGCTAAAACTTAATCATCCCAGTCGGTACCAAAAAAGGCATACAAAGATTTTTTCAAGAACAAACACAAGCTGTGAAAATAAATGGTGTCTGTGTAGAATTTGCAACATCTGCGCGAGTCCTTGGTTTAACTCTGGATCGAACTTTAACCTGGGAACCTCACATTAAACTTATCTGCTCAAAATCACTATATAAACTGAGAACCTTATATAAGGCTAAAAATCTTTTGTGTACACACATTAAACTAAAGCTGGTAAAACAATTAATACTACCTCATTTAACATATGGTGATGTGTGTTATCAGGGACTCAAAAAACAATTGTCTTATAAAATACAAAAAATTCAAAATCACTGTTTACGTTTTGCGTGTAATCTTAAACGTAGTGATCATATACAACCTATACTTAAACATCATAATATGCTAAATATGAGAACTAATCGAATATACCACATGCTAAGACTTTTGCATAAAATCATTCTTAATCGAATACCGCTTTATCTCTACACAAACTTTCGGGCACTCAGTAGTTTCCATTGTTACGGTACTAGGACTTCAAATATTTATATTCCTAAGGCTCAGACAAGCATTGGAGCATCGTCCTTTTATATACAAGCGGCCAAATTGTGGAACAAGCTGCCAGAAGATGTTAGACACACCAGGTCCTGTAATGGTTTCGATCGCAAGTGTTTTTGTTTGTTGCAGAACTCTGAACATGTTTTTTTTTATGTTTAATGTGTAAATTTATACGTAGAGAGCTATTACGTTTTTCGTTTTTCTTGTTATACTGTTTTACTCACTTTTTACTTTGTTTTTACTTTTTTTTTGTTATATTTACTTTGTATTTCATAATATTGTTAACTTGTTTTGTTATATCTGATGCGACCAAGTTTGTAGAGGGGGGATACTAATGGCCCTATGGCTTCTCCTATCCCTTAATAAATTTATATTATTATTATTATTATTAACATATATATTTTTTTTTATATTCTTTGTTTTCGAATAGTTTTTATAAGGTTCAATACATGAACATTGTTATTGTTATGTTCATAAATAATTAAATAAATATCTCACCATAGTCTCCTGGCGTTGGGAGACCTTTATCTTATATCTTTTTCCTACTCTGTCGTTTAAATCGCCCATAATTATGAGCCGTTTTCGACACCTTCCATTTCTTCCAAAAACAAATCTGTGTTTGTACCTTCATCCTTTTTTTCCCTCCTTGTGAGTTTGTGACCACCAAGTTCTTTTATTTAGTTCTTTTTCCAAGTGCAGCATTCTTGTGTTTTGTTGTGCGATCGTGTCCTTTAGTTGTTCATTTTCGAGTTTCAGTTTTGAGTGTTGTTCTGTTCTCCTCATTGCTGTTTAATTTGTTCTAATATAGCCTACATTAATTTAGATGTAGGTACTAATAAGAATTGTTTACGTGAGATAAGTAATGTTAGTAAATAAAGTGTAATCTTATATTTTATCTACTGCAATGATAACGGCATGTTTATGCACGTGCTCGTTATCTTCACATAACCTCTGTTATTCTATCTACACTACTTATACGCTAGGTTTTCCAAAATCTACATTTAGAACAATTAACTTACGATTTTTCCAATTTCTATGTGTATATCCCTTCAGTAGCCTGTACGCCATTAACTACTCGTAAAAACGCACTTTTCTTTGCTTTTTATCACCTGAATTTTTTTAAATTATTCCGAGGTGACGTGACGGGACCGTGTACGCGCCATTCACCACGTCGACCTAACTCCACGTAAATAACTAAAAAGCTACTTCTATTGCAAAACCAATGATAAAGGGCAAAAATTTTGTCTCTGCGTCTCGTTTTTTATCGCTATAGAGCATGGAACGCTATGTCCAATTACAAAGAGCCATCTTTGTCCGCATTTCTAGTTCTCCGCTCCTTAGCTTTGGAACTGAACTAGTTTTCCCAAGTAAAGTAATTGATCTACCTAAAACAGCGATCGATTTCGGCTTATCATGGCCATCATCAGGCTTAGCGTCATGTTCGGAGGGTTAACGGAATGTAGTTATGCTGAAGGCTATTATATGAAGTGCTTTTGTTTCAATAGAAAAATTGTAAACCACGAGACGACATATATATAAAAGTAGGTTATGTGCAATCTGTTTACATCAATAATTCAATTTTAAGTCATTTCACTTGCGAAAACATGTCTCTCCTCATAAGTTTTGTTCGGAATTTTGTGCAAGATGAGTGGAAATGTCATTATAAGCTTGTAATGTTGAGCGATATTCACGTCCTGACACAGTCAGTAAGTCAAGTCAGTTCTTTTCATGCCTCTTTTTGCTGTCACAGTCCATTTCACTTAATAGTGCTCTTTACAATTATGTGGGGCTACAGCAACTATACATAATAATAGCTGCTATACCCACTATTTGAAACTAAACCTCTAGCTAGTGTGAAATCTCAACACAAGTGGAGAATATAACAAACAGTGTTTTTAGGTTTGGAAATTGAGCGATGGTCGAATGCTATAGGTTTTAGATGTACTGATCACAAAAATAAGTAAAAATCTAAGACGTGTACCTATTTGCTCCGACGATACAAATGTTCTGCACGAGTTAGAGATGATACATTTTTTAACCCGCCTCCTTGTCGGTGTTTTTCTTGGCACGTTAATATAGGAATGATCAACTGTATTTTTTTATATGATATGATCCGTAAAAAAGTACTGTATTAAGTGATATTTTTTAAAATTTTATGACGCGATATACGCGGCACACAAAAAACAACAGTTGGAAGCTGTTGGTTTCAACAGGATGGTGCACCTCCAATAGATATGGGCAGTGCAGTTGATCGTGGAGCAAAAGGTAAAGAAGTTTTAAATATGCCTAAACCATGGTGATGGTGTATACACCATGGCCTAAACTCTCCGGCTAACGCAAGCATGAAATTCAAAGACATTGAGTAGATAGTTAGTGCAGCGTGGTCGTAACCATGGTGAAGGTACGTACAAATGAAAGCGCTTATACCAAAGGTATACGGAATACGGGGCATCCTAATTTTTATAAATTGGGAATCATATTAGACTCGTGCTTTAATTTAGAGGGAAGATATGCAAAATGTAATGAAAGGACTTGCCATCACGTGTAATGAGACCCATCATTTTATACGGGGATGAGATGACGGCCATCAATGTATGGGGAAAAGTTAAACATACTATCAAATATAATCCCAAGACTCGGTGTTCAATGAGTACGAGAAATGTGAGCGAGACCTCTTGCAAGTATAGGTAACTCGCAACTATACATTTGAAAATATTTATAAACAATTTATTGTCCCACGCCGACTATCAAATCGGTTTAAATCATGATTTTGCCTCAGCAGTTAGATATTGCAAAGAAAAGCATTGTTATATACAGAATGTACACGTTGATATAACGACGGCCCAACATAGAACCTTGACGCAAAGAGTACCTTGCTTGAGGTACTCCTAATTTAGGAAAATAAATTGATTATTAGTATTTTAAGATTACTGGTACGGTACTACGACCCTTCTTCAATTCCTCTAGTTCAATTTTCAAATCAGTAATTAATTGCTTAAACTTAAAGTACGATACGTCGGTCTTTAATGAGCAGGCATTGTATTTCATTGCGGAAAAGTCCAGTACATGATATTTGAGTAGGAGATTCACACAGTTAAAAGATAATTTCTTATCACCATTGATACCATTATAGTAGTAGCAACATATAGTATATGTTGTCTGTGGTAGTAGGTAGGTATACTATAAAATATATACTTTCTACACCAGGTACATATATGGTACATTTTTTTTTAGATCGACACACGCCTTCTAATATACAGTAGGTACTTTTAGATAAGAGTCACCTCAATATCTCTTATTTGGCGAGATACGCAAAAGTTGTCAAATATTTTTATATGCGATGGCATATTGAAACTACTTCCGGTGCCACTTCCGGTTTAACCAAAAAACAGAACAATCAGCTTGCTGTACGACAACATGAAATAAGCATATGGAGAAATTCAACCTCTAGAAAAATCTGGTATGCCGTGTGCCAAATGTTTTATAATGAAATGGACTGTAATTCTAATCTTTTGCACTTACCTTTTTGTTGTAGTTTCTTCGCACAAAGTGCTAAGGAAACGGAACAAGATAAAAGGAAGATGTGAGGGTAAATATTGAACTATTGTGAAACTACCAGTTCGTTATTGACGTTATTCGCTTTTTACAAATTCCACTGAGCGAATTTTAGTTGCTTTTGTCACGTATCAGAGATTTGAAAATTGTATAAGCAAACGGAAAACTTATTATCACGACGGACTGAATGCGAGTGACAGTTATCTACGACCCTGGCAGATTACAAAATTCTATCGGAAAAATAAAATAGTCATTATTACGCTTTGAAAACCAAACAATCACACAGGAAAGACCTACATCAACTTGTTCAATGTTTTGTTTTTGAAGCTTTTGCGCGATACGATCTTCCCGTGTAACACAACAGACACAGCGCATCCTGACAGCACACGGCATGCTGGATTTCATAAGCTCTAAATATGCGGAAGTTTAAATATGCGATGGGATAGATCATATTGTCATATACACGGTGTCTATTTTTCGAGTGCCACTATGGGGATCTCACACTTATCTTAAGAGATAGAAATTTGGTTAAATGAGGGCAAAGTTGCCAATTTTCGTGCCGAATAAGAATCTGAAAAGAAATTTGAAATATCTCCAAAAGTTTTGAAGATATCGGAAAAAACGAAAATTTCTGATTTTCGTTTTTAATATTTTTATGATAAACTAATCGTAGTAGACATTTCTAATTAACACATAACACACACTTTTTAATGGAGATTCCAAATATGGCATCCTGTTTTTAATAACTTTCAAGATGACGGAGAAACGCGTGGAAACTTCAGTTTTTCGTATGGGCGCCATTTTGAATTTTCACATTTTGAGATTACGTCTTTTTTTCTCTTTACAACGATATATCACACATGGTGGTTCCGTATCACATTTTTCTTAAAAATACAATTTTTAATTTTTTGAGAAGAGTGCTTTGTAAAAAGAAAACGTTCATTTGTTGTGAACAAATGTTTGACAGTTTGATCTATCTGTCTGGTTGCAGCATTGTCGGAGAAGTAGAAATTCGATTTTTATCTGAACAGAATTGAACTTTCGTTTTGCAAGAGTCCCTTGCTAGGAGTGGGAGGTAGAACAGATGAAGGAAATGATGGGAAGAATAAAGAGATGGGTATTGGCAAAAAAAGGAATAGAGTTAATGTCAGAAAATCGAAGATGATGAGTTTGGAATGGGATGAGGAAGGGAAAGGGAGAGGGGGCATACTAATGGCCGTATGGCTTCTCCTATCCCTTAATAAATTTATATTATTATTTTTTTTTTTTTTTAATTTCTCACTTTTGTGGAGTTACATCAATTATTATTATTATTATAGCGAGGGATGAAAAAGTAGAGGAAGTAACAAGAGAAGTAAAATATTTGGGGTACCATTTGCAACGAAATAATGGAGCAAATGCGCAAATAAGAGAACTAAGAAAAAAGGGGGAAGTGGCGATGCGACAGGATAGGAATAAGAGAGCGGAGCTTCAAAAATGGCTTTAGAACAAGAAACACGGCTGTTTGAGGCAATAGGGAGAGGGGTGCTTGTATACGGATAGGGGATAAGAAGGTGAAATGAATGGGATGAACTTGAAAGAATACAAAGAATGTATTATACTCGTAAATGGGTATCGGGCGGGGTAAATACGCTAATTTTATATTAGGTTTGCTTGTACACGTAACTCGTAATGGATTTAAATACGCACACGACAATAATTTCGTCAAAATGGCGTCACAGTTTTCTCTTAAAATTCGGTAATTAACTTCAACTTCCGCAATAAAATATCACGGACGGTTGACAATCCTTTTGTAAACTTCGAAAATACGGCTTCTGTTTGAACCTCTAATTGAAAATGAATGTTTACGCGATCTCAAAATGCCGCCCTCAACTCTTATAGTTTCGCTTCTAAAGATTGGCGAAGAATATCTGTTACGCGATATAAAAATATCGCACACAACTCGTATTGATGCTCTTCGGAAGCTTGGGGAAGAATCCCTGTAATTTTCACTTATGTACTCGCCGAATTCAAAAACAGAAACGGACCCAACGCGCATTAAGGTTCGGTTATCTTTTTTTAGCGTAACACAATGAAGTTGAGGTAACGTTTATGTGCTCGTGTTTCCGTCTGTCCGTCCGTCCGTTCCATCGAGATCTCGGTCCCTGGGCCACCTACAGAGTTCGGGTTTTCGCTAATTGATAACTGTTATGGTCTATTTTTTCCCATTTCAATCACTTTCATTTAACTCCATATTTCTTATTTATGGAGATATTTCTTTGAAATTTTAACCACACACTTGACAGATTCATTAGTGTTACAGTTGTGTTACGCGGCAATACCCAGGAGTGGGTTTTGAAACATTTTTTTTACATGTGAAGGTATAGCAGAGGGTGCGTCCCTCATGCTCCGTAAGGACGTATTTTTGAACCGGCAACACTCTGGCGTTTTGATCTCATCTGTTGCACACTCGTTTCTTATCTACAAACGGTTCATTTAATCGCATTTTGGTTCTGTTCTCTTTTATTATAGAGGTGGAGATGTATAAAATTTCCTTTTTCGTCGACCTCTCGATAACAACATAAATTACACCTTAGTTACAGGTGTTAATGGTTAGAAACCATTATGCATTAGCAACCATTAATCGTTAGCAACAACTTATACATAACAACTATTTTATTAAAGGGAATGACATTTATATATAATAATTCACTTTCGGCATCAGCTGAGAACTTCCATCCACCTAACCATTTTAATCTCGCTTTTAATGTAGTGAGGTCAGTAGCCATCAGTATGGTCGCCAACGATCTCAGTAAAGCATATCCTGAAGTGTAGCTTCTCGGATAAGGTATTGTTAAGGTATTCAGTTACTTATTTATCTTCAACATTGAGTACGTCGACCACAGGGATGAACATTTCCATATCTTTCACTGTTAATACACGTACCTACTTTAGTACAGTTGCAAAAGAATTAATTACATTCTAATTTCACATACCTTTTCAAGGTAAAATGTCAACATGACATTTTCGAAAATATCTCCTTTCAAATTCATTGTATTCCATCAATTGCCGAACTGATCGAAACCGTTCCAATAAGTTTCTTTTGATTTGAGCGGATATACTGTTAAAATCGCCTCCGCAGCAGAGCAAGCAACATAATCTTTCACTGAGATTACGAGGACTGACGGTACAGTATAAACAACACATTACTATAGCAACGAAAATAGCTGTAATTTAGTGAAAAATCGTCGGAGCTTATAATTCCGTTTGTAATTTCTTATATTTTAAAATTACATACCCCAGTGAAGTCGACGAAAAAACGTTGTATGCAATTCATGTATAAATCGGCGATTATTGGTTCGTTCGAATTTAGTCCACTCGCTGCACTCGTGGACTAAACATCTCACTCACCAATAAAACGCCTCATTTATACACTCATTGCATAAATAACTAATACCGCCAAATTTGTAAATACAAAACCAAAACATTTTGTCAAGAAAGGGCAAGGGAAAACAGAAATAAATTCGCGTCAATAAAGTTTGATTGATTGATAGTCCCTTAGTATATAATATTAATAATAATAATAATAATAATAAAAGATTGAATGTAGCTTCACAATCCTTGATGAAAGTTCGATTTAATGGAACGGAATGAGGAATATTAAGTTGATTGATGCTCGAATTTGAACTGGAGTGAAGTAAATTCATCTTATGGGAGGGGGGGGGGGGGAAAATATCACGTCCTGTGGTTTGGAAGTAGCTATACCGTTTCGTCCTGGCAATATTGATCCTTGTCACGCTCCAGCGTGAAGCACCCAGTAGGTATGGTATTACATTTGATGTTTTGATCACTCTGTATATACCACTCTCTAGTATCTCCATATTAACTTTATCAATTTATTATAGTTGTTATTAAAAGATGCAATAGGAATTTTATTTAATAATAAAATTACGCCGCATACATTATAGAACCATCAACTGTTTTGTTACGTAGTATATGAGTCTACCTACTCTCAAGTTTAGGTTCTGAACAGCACCTCTTCTAATGAAAAGGTTACATAAATATGGCGGTATTAAATTGTAACAGTATTTAAATACTTACTTAGTATTTAAATTCATTATGTTCTAAAACAGGCAGATATGCTCTCTAAAAGGAATATTACAATACAATATTTCATCTGACCTACACTGAAAGTAAAAGCATGCGATTCACTTGTAGGCATAGCTATTTAGAGGTTCTCCTAGAAAAGTTTATCCATAAACCTCCCTTAACGTGTAGTATCAAGTATCTGGGATCAATTTCCAACGGAGTTTTAGTCCTCTCGTTAACCGTAACATCAAAATTCGCCAGAATGTTAATTAGGGCAACTTTAGCTTGTGTTGCACCAAAGCGTTGTCCTAAAATAATTATAGCAGTACGATGAATGCGGTTATCATATTGATCTTATACCATGGCAAGCGCGTGGCCCATCACCAAAGGGTAGATACGCTCCGCGCACTATCGACTCTTTGTTTTCACCCATGAATCTCTCGGGGTCGAACACGTACGGATCCTTAAAGTATTTGGGATCAGTGTGTAAGCCGTATAAAGGTATCATAATTGGAGTATCAACTTCAACGTTAACGTCTTTGCCAGTGCCTTGACCTCTTGGTGGCGGAAAGACAAATGGCTTAGTACAGGAACGGAGTAGTACCAGTGCGGGTGGATGAAGGCGAACGGTTTCTAAAAAACCTCATTATTAACAAATATGTGTTAGACAATCGTATTACCGCAAATGACTGCGTCGAGGTATTTTAGCCCGTGAACAGAATCATAATCTAGCTCCTTTTGCATCAGAAGCGCCTGGTCAACTTCTGCACGCAGCCTGTTAAGTATTTCTGGATTTGCGGCTAACTCGTAGAGGGCGAATGCAATAACGCACGAACTTGTCTCAAAACCGTCAGTAAAGAAACCTACAGCTTGGGCCGTCACATCCGTATTTGTAAACTTGCTCTCCCCAAGCTTGTTCTTTAATTCCAACATTGAATCCAAGAAATCGTTACGAACAATATTGTTTTCTTTACGGTAATTAAGCGTTGCGTCAACAATGTTGCAGAAGTATTCCGTCACATCCTTAGGTATAAAGCTATAGGAAATCTTGGGAGTAAGAACTTTAATTATTATACTTGTTATTACCGTATCTTTAAAATATTTGACAGTGAAGGGAACATGAACATAATGCTAAACTTGATCACAGTCAACGGAGACGGTTCGAACAACTTTTTACCCATCTTCCTGAACAAAGGATCGGGTTCATCAAACGTTCTTCCTTCCAAACCAAAAGCGCAATTTGCCACAACTTCGGTTCCAAATTGCGCAAATAATTCACGCACCTCCAAACTGCCACCGCCTTTTAGTACATCATCGTCTAAGTACCGAACCATTCTGTTCGCCGCCTTTTGAAGGAACACGTGCATTTCCCGCATCTTCTTGGCCGTGAAGCATGGGGTGATTAGGCTCTTCGCCGTTTTCCATTTTTCCCCCTTTAAAGAGAACGTGTTGCGCCCACCGAGCGGATCAACTTCTTCGCTTATGATCAAATCGTTATCGTGAAAACTGTTAAAATCCTTATTCATAACGTCACGGATTAATTGTGGATCTCTCAGTACCAGACCCGGCTGTCTGCCCCGATAAAATCCCACGTACAATACATCGGGGAAATCTCTGCAAACTTAAATTAAACGCTAATTTATACCGACTATTTACCTATAAATGTCGGTGTATATCTGTCCAACCGATCTCTTTGAAGTCAACGAATCGCCGAGATTGCCGAAAAGAAGGGATGGTTCAGGATTTGGCACGTTCCTTTTTTTCCAATACTGAAATCCCGACGATAGATAGAAGTAGAGGGCGATTATTGCGCCGAATAAGAAAAGTAAGAACATTTCGTTGACAAGTGAATCAATAAACACTTTAGGTATCTCGCTACTGAAAGGTCCCCCCTTTTCGTCAAAGGTTGAAGTAATTTATCTAGTAGAGGCAGACGTCGTTTATTTTAATATTGCTTAATGAACACAATTGATTAAATTATCTCTGTTATCAGTCGCCATAGAAGTTTTGTAATTTTTAATTCTTTTTGATAACTCGATTCCAAACTACTGAAGGAAGATGCAATTTTACTACGTAAATCATGAAAGTGGACTAAAAAACATTTTGACCTGAACCATGTAATTGACATTTAAATTGACCTATTACAAGATAACACCTATCATTCGCATAGTGAGCGAACCTTGAAGCGTACTTAAGTGCGTTTTCCCAAGCAAGAGATTTACTGTGGACACTATGTTAGTTCAATTTATGGTTACTCTTTGTCTTCTTTGGAAGAACCTTTGATTTAGAAACGGGGAAGCTTCTCGAGAGATTGAAAGTAGGGATGGTTCAATTCAATCCTTGGAGACTTGGTCCTGATTAAACCCTCTCCTTCGTCCTCTTAGTTTAAGCTTTGAATATAATAGTTATTTATGTATTAAGGGCATAGTAGTGATGTTTATATTCTCGAGGCCGACAAGTTAAAAAGCTCGAGGGCCTATGGTACACAGAGCTGGGCAGTATTCGATTTTGTAAATACTTTTTAGTATTCAAATCCTTTAATACTTTGTAATTAAATACTTTTATGGAAGCAGTATTTGTTTTTGTAACTCAAATACTTTCACAAATATTTAGTATTCGAATACTTCGCAAAGTATTTGAATACTTTGAGAAGTATTCGAATACTTCGCATAGTATTTGAATACCAAAAATCGACTACTCCAAAATTTCTCGGGAAAATACTTTTTCTTATTAATTTTGGTGCGTAGAATCCAAAACAATTCTTACTTTTTCGATTAGACTTCTCAATCAAAATTTATAGAATAGAAACCAATTTCGAAAGAAAATTCAAAGGGCTGTAACTTTTGAACTAGTAGCCCAATCTTATAACTGTTTGAAATTATGGATTCTATAGGCCACATTCTATAAGAACATTTTTTTCCGGGTCGATCTGAAACAATTTTTTTTTCGGGTCACAAAAAAAGGCAGTGTATAACCTTCCTTTTATTTTCCAAAAATCGACTACACCAAAATTTCTCGGGAAAACACTTTTTCTGATTAATTTTGGTGCGTAAAATCCAAAACAATTCGTACTTTTTCGATCAGACTTCTCAATCAAAAGTTATAGACTAGAAACCAATTTCGAAAGAAAATTCAAAAAGCTGTAACTTTTGAACTAGTAGTCCAATCTTGGAACTGTGTGAAATTATGGATTCTACAGGCCACATTCTATAAGAAAATTTTTTTCCGGGTCGATCTGAGACAATTTTTTTTTCGGGTCACAAAAAAAGGCAGTGTATAACCTTCCTTTTTTACCAAAAATCGACTACACCAAAATTTCTCGGAAAAACACTTTTTCTTATTAATTTTGGTCCGTAGAATCCAAAACAATTCGTACTTTTTCGATTAAACTTCTCAATCAAAAGTTATGGACTGGAAACCAATTTCAAAAGAAAATTCAAAGGGCTGTAACTTTTGAACTAGTAGCCCAATCTTGGAACTGTGGTAAATTATGGATTCTACGGGCCAAATTCTATAGGGAAATGTTTCAAAATCGCTAGGATTAATTTCAGAAATGCGTACGTATCATGTGCACGACGCACGATCGCTTTGAAAACTGGTACACGTATTCTTAAGGATATAACTGGTATAAGAAAGGTCCTGGTAGGTACCTCCTATATAATAATATAATAAAAATAATACGCTTTTACTCCCTTCAATTTGTATATAACAATAGAAATATAAAAAAAAGGTAACCCCATACAAAGTATAACTTGATTTTTATCTAGTATACTATTTTAAATTTTTAATGTATTTGAGTGACAAGTATTTGATTTGATTACTTTTTACTGTATTCGAATACTTTTCAAAGTATTAGAATACCTTTGATAGTATTAGAATACCTTTGAAAGTATTCGAATACATTGTAAAGCATTTGAATTTTTTTTTTTAATAAGGCTTTTTTCGGGGATCTAAGCCCATTTAGCCACGGTAACATACTATGGGAAGAAACAAGGACACTCGCTTCTCGCCCAGAGGTCTATCAAGGCTTTTCAATGACAATATACTGTACACGACCATGGTTAACGAGGAATAGGGTGGCACAGAGGATAAGACAGCGGAAAACAGAATTTTATATGATTTTATATACGGTCAAATATTTAGTTTGATTTTATGAATAAAATCCGCTAGCAGATTAAACAACCCTTACTTCTTAATACGGTGACTATATTTAATGGGAACACAATTCCCTTGTTCTGCAGTCCTTCGTACAATTTATATGTATGTGTTTTATTCAAGGGACAGTTAAAAAAAATGTTCCAAAACCCACTCGTGGGTATTGCCGCGTAACACAAAGTATTGAAACGACGCATCGTCACCAAAAGCACACAAAATGTCGAATCTGCATATTGAAGCACGTCCACGTCCAGAGAAAGAAAGGAGTTAAATAAGTAAAATAAAGTTTCAAAGAAATATTACCATACATAAGAAAGTTGGGTATGAGCAGCCTGTGCAGTCACTGCGTATGCCCACATAATTTTTACTATGTGCGAAATGTTTGCCTTTACTAGTAGCATTTGTGGTTAAAATCTCAAAGAAATATCTCCATAAATAAGAAAGTTAGCATTGCGCAGTCACTGCGCATGCCCACATAATTTTTACTATGTGCGAAATGTTTACCTTTACTAGAAGCGCCTGTGGTTAAAATTTCAAAGAAATATCTCCATAAATAAGAATTTTGGCACTGCGCAGTATGCCCACACATCACTGCGCATGCCCACACATTATTTTTACTATAATGCGAAATGTTTGCATTTACTAGAAGCGTCTGTGGTTAAAATTTCAAAGCAATATCTCCATAAATAAGAAAGTTGGCATTGCGCAGTCACTGCGCATGCCCACATAATTTTTACTATGCGCGAAATATTTATCTTTACTAGAAGCGTCTGTGGTTAAAATTTGAAAGAAATATCACCATAAATATGAAAGTTGGCATTGCGCAGTCTGCGCAAAATATGGAGTTAAATGAAACTGATCGAATTGGGCAAATATAGACCATAACAGCTATCAATTAGCGAAAACCCGAAGTCTCTAGGTGGCCCAGGGGCCGAGATCTCGATGGAACGGACGGACGGACGGACGGACGGAAACACGAGCACATAAGCTTTACCTCAACTTCGTTGTGTTACGCTAAAAATGTGATTAAGGTCTGCAACAGGTTCACCGCAAGCACATTGCGGGCTATCCAACACTTTGATCTTGTGCAGGTGCGCGGGAAATCTTCCGTGGCCAAACTTCAATCTGGCTATTATGACGTCGTATCTGCGAGAGACAACGTTTTTGGAGTTACTCCACCGACGAAGTGTTACTTCCGGATGAATTAAGCCATACTGTGTGGGTTTTATGCTATAAGCATTTTTCCAATGTACTGTCCATTGGGTCTTTAATATATCGGACTTTGCCACACCTATATAATCAGATTTTGCAATTTTGTTTTCGAAATATATATCTGATTTGATGGCTTTCTTTGCCAACATGTCCACCTGCTCATTAAGAAGAATACCGCTGTGCCCTTTAATCCAATAAAATTTTACATTCCTTTTGAACTTCAGAGCTCTTAATATAATGTTGGAAACTATAGGGTTTGATTGTAATCTTCCTATCTTATTGTAGTTTTTTAAAGCTTGCAGCACGCTAAAACTATCAGTCATGATCGCCACCTTATTACTAGACGCGCTATCCCCACAGTGGAGCAGTGCCTGCCAGATTGCGTATGGTTCTGCTGTAAATATGGATGTAGAAACATCCTTTCTCTTGGCTTCTCGCGTTTACGAATGCGCATCCACAGCCTTGATCACCATTTGATCCGTCTGTATACAAAATTATGTGATCCCTAAGTTCAGCTGTAATGGAGGTGTGGAGCTTACGATCGTGGTCGGGCTGCCCAGTGTACGGTGGAGAAACTACTTCGAGGCCCTTTAAATATTCCCCAAACGCTATCTCAAAATTACTGTGGAAAAATGCTCGAGTTAAACGATTTAATTAATGAGTACGCTTCGGTTAAGGGTGGAGAACTTTTATTTTGCCAAAACCTAGAACATAAATCCAAAACAGTGAGATTGTTTACTTTGGAAATAAGCACGTTAGCGTTCATTGCTAGGATTTTAGCTACGTATTTGACTGCCAAAAACTTGCGACGCAGGTGCAGCGGGGGTTCTTGTGCTTGAATTAGCAACGCATTTATTGGTGTCGAACGCATGGCTCCTATGGCTAGTCTCAGAGCTTTATTTTGCATAACGTCGATCCTTTTAAGTTTATCCTTGGATGCATTGCCGTATAAAGTACTACCATAGTCTATTAATGATCGCGTATAACATAAAGAATTTATACATTGATTTCTACCCACAACAGTTCCATCAATTTTAATGACTGATATGACAATCTGGTAATCAATTTATAGTCGACAATCTAAAAAAAGACTCGCTATACCTATAGTTAGTTAACACTTCCATTTTTTTTCAATTTTGAGACATAAACCAACAATTTCCTCGAAATATTGTATACTACAGTGCACGTGGTGCATCATTTCTAAGAGAAGTTCATACAGGGTGGCAATTTGAAAACTTACCACCCCCCATGTCTTAGTAAATAAACGAGATATTTTAAAAAATCAAAATCCGTTTTGGTAATTCGGAGGGGGAATCACAATGACTTAAGCTGAATTTATAGTTCCGTACCCGCAACGCCGTACCGTAACGTTTGGAATTAAACCCTACTTGTTGCGTGTAAACATTTATAGTTCGCGTTAACGTTGCGTTAGAACGGTTACGGTACGTAGGAAATGCCCAAATCTCATTTCTTACGGTAAATCGTGCTAACGCGTTTGTCGTCGGCAATACTCGGATAATTCAAACAGTTGAGTTTATCCTGACGTTCGTTTCGTT